GTGTTTTAATTATCACATTTAATTCCTTGCAGCCAGCTGTAAGGCTCACTGTCACATGAAGTGACAGGGTGGAACTTCTCAGATATCATTAAAATCACTGAAAAAAAGAATTACCAGGGGTGTTAGAAAATAACAGATTAATCACAGAACCTGGGAGCAAATTACCTATTACTTCCTCCCATGTCACTACAGGTGCATTTTCTACCTCTTCCTCCTCTCCAGCTGCAGCCCACAGTTTCTGTGACATTCATGAAAGCAGAGTTTTTCTTTTTCCTAGTTTTATGCCATCACTACGAAATGATTCAGTTACATTAAACCACCCACAGACATGGAAAAACTCATCATCATTGCCAGAATCACTTCGAAGTTCACTTGTTTATTTGCATCTTTACTGTAATGGGTTAAAACTTAAACAGGGGAAGTTTAGATTGGATATAAGGAAGAAATTCTTTCCTGTTAGGGTGGTGAGGCACTGGAATGGGTTGCCCAGGGAAGCTGTGAATGCTCCATCCCTGGCAGTGTTCAAGGCCAGGTTGGACAGAGCCTGGAGTGGCATGGTTTGGTGTGAGGTGTCCCAGCCCGTAGCAGGGGGGTTGGAACTTGATGATCTTAAGGTCCTTTCCAACCCTAACTATTCTATGGTACTATGATTCTATAATAATTTGCCCACAACACCTTTCCATTTCCTCTGTTGATTCTTTGTGAATTTCCCTGTTTTCCTAGGGGTAACTGGCACCAGAGCAGCTTCCAGAGCTCATGCTGTTGCTGAAAAAGATACTCTACTATTTAAGACAAATCAGGAGTCTCTCTAATTGTTCTTACTTGGCTATATTCCACACTGTAACAGGTCTATATCCATTCTGTAGCACAAATAACTAGTATGCAAGAAATACGGTATGTCAAAAGCATTCAAGCTTCCAGTGTCAATATCTCAAACCTCTTCTTATTTCTTCTCATATTTGGGGAAAAATAAATCCATAGGTGAAATAGTAATGAAGGCCAAATTCTCCTCCTTCAGTATATTGAATTAAGCATATGAGCACAAGCTTTTTGTGACAACGCTTACAAGAAATTTCACTGGTTACACCAGATCTGCAAGGGTAAGCAGTCACTAGTTGTTAACTGGCACAAAATGAAATAACTTATTTGGAAAGGAGAAAACAGACTCATAGGTCTTTACTACCATTGAGTAGTATTTCTAACTGGTGATGCCTGTTAATCAAAATGATTCGGTGCAACAGGCTTGGGTGGAAGGACCATCCCAACAGATGGAGACACCCTCTCGTCCAGCTACAAGTAAAAACCTGTCAAAAGACAGTTTTACTAGTATCAGTAAATAAAAAATAATAAATCATATAGACTCATAGAATAGTTAGGGTTGGAAAGGACCTTGAGATCATCTAGTTCCAACCCCCCTGCCATGGGCAGGGACACCTAACACTAGACCTTGTTGCCCAAGGCTCTGTCCAATCTGGCCTTGAACACTGCCAGGGATGAAGTATTCACCACTCCTTTCAGCAACCTGTTCCAGTGCCTCACCACACTCATAGCTACTCTAAATTTAAAAGCAGAAGCCTATGCAACTTCATCTCTCACGGATGTAATAGAGTGAACCTTGCCATTGAATTCTGTTGAATCACACATTTATAAATTTCTATTAAATTACTTATATTAATACCTTTGGCAGTGATTCTTATAGCAATCCTAAACACTCCATTTTGTGACACCTTCTTACAAAACTCTCCCAAGCCTGACTTTCCATTTACATTTCAAAGGAAGGTGCACTCCTGGGTTGGAAGACAAGCACAAGCACTGTTTGTGTCACCACAGTTCAAAGCACCTACTAAGTCATAGTAAAGGCAAGTGCTCACCAACACCAATCACTCGCTGCCATCAAAAAAATATTTGAACAGAAAAAGTGGGGTTTTGTTTGTTTGGTGGCGGTTTTATTCCAGTGACATATTGGCTTGGGAGAAGTTTCATCATTCCTATTAGAAACACAGAAATAATAGACTTATTTCAATAGGACAATCTTAACAATGCTCTTGGAGGTCAGTCTGGTTTTCATTCATTTGCTGTTAGTAGATGGTGATCATTGCTGCTTCATCAGCTTTCTAACTACTTGTGTGGCACAGCTTTATACAAATGAAAACTCATCTGGCGATTTCAGACTGCTTTGGGACAATTTAGCTAACTCGAATACGAGATGCACTGAGAAAATGAAGAGTCTAGATTGCCTTGATTATTAATAAGACCTCCCTTTTCCAGGACTGCAATTATTTACCTTTATTTAAGAGAAACTGAGATTGTGCACCAAACGTTGCTGAACCACAAAACCAGAGGAGAGTCCTGCATTTGTTCTTGCAAAGTTCAGCCAGCCAAAAAGAATAAATAATGAAGGACATAGGTTTCTGCATTCACTAAACAGATCCATTAAAGTGGATTTATCTGCACCATTTCCCTTCAATTACAATCATGCCCTATATCTGTGCAATTTTCGGTATTTGTGAAATTGTGTTCCTGGCAATCTAATATTCTGTTTGGTGGCACTGTTATAGTGGGTTGTGAAATACATGTGGGGCTAATATTGGAAGTCCTGATGACTTGTGAGTCCTGCAGCAAAGCCTGAATATTGCTAGATGGCTGAAGAGACAGTCATATCACCTGCATCATTACCAAAAGTGAAAAAGAATAAACTTTACCTGATGGTCGCTTTTACTATTTCTACATGTTTTCTAAAACAAAAGCATGTTCATGTAACTCAAGAGAGTGAAGTAACGAATAACACAAGAACCCTGGAATGGTTTGAGTTGGAAGGGACCTTAAAGATCATCTAATCTCAACCCCTCCGGGATGCCTCCCTCTAGCGTGAGGCAGGGATGCCTCACGCTAGACCAGGTTGCTCAAAGCCCTGTCAAACGTGGCCTTGAAGTAAGAGGGAGGATACTCCTGTCTGGCACTGAGGTTCTACCTTTTATCTCTTTCACAAGTTCTGCTTTGCAGGAGACAAACACAGCAGCCCAGTGTTTCTCTCCCAGCCCTTGTCATCCTGGGAGGCGTTTTATTCCCTGCCACTGTGTGCACTCTCACCAGTCTTTTCAGTAGGGCCACTTCCATTAAAATACGGGTATTCAGATACACAGATGAGCACAGTGCACTCACGTGGCTTACCAGGATAATTTCCAGCATAAATAAGGTTATTATTGCATCATACAGAAGGGGTTTACTACCCTTCAGCTACCTTTAAGTTTTACTAAACAAAATTCTCTGGGTTTTTTATTCACTTGCCTAAAAACAGGTTTTAAAAAATGTGTTTTCATTAGGGTGGGAGATTTGGAGAAAGCAAAAATCTTGCTCAGTACTTATTTATAGCTCTCCAATACTAAACTTGTAAAAGCAGATTTAATCTCATAATCTTTACCCAAGTGGCCAAAAGTCAATCAGTTTGGACCCCATCACAGTTTTTCTCACAAAATAATCTAATTATTCTACCTGCGCTATTTCTAAAATCAAGATAAATTTGCATACCTGAATTCTTTCATCTCTGCAAAACAATTTCTAATACATACCGGACTTCCCTAAAAACATTAGAACTGATTTTTTAATGTTTAAATCAGGATGAGCTCTTAAGAAACTCCAAGTTTTTTTATGTCATTCTGAATTGAAGGCTATCTGTAGTGTCACAGCCCCTGTAGCTCCCAAATGGCTTTAAAACAGTGCTAGCTGAGCAGCATTTATCCATTCTTTTAAAGAATCTATGTAAGAGTAGCTTTTAAGCTCTGCCTTTCCCCAAGAGAAAAAGTGCTTTAGAGAAACTGAAAATAAAGCATGGACACCACAGCTGCCAGCTCTGCCACACTGGCAAAAGAATCCAAAGGAAAGCTTTCAATTTATTTTCCATTCAGAGGCAGCTCTGTCCAGCCAGTGGGCAAGGACAGGTTCTGTCAATGAAAGCTGTTTTATTTCTGTCAGACCTTAGGTAAGAACACCAAATACAAGGTCAATGTGAATTTTATTATTATCACATGAAGATTATTCAAAAAGCAGTGGAACCCAGCTGATGCTGGGACATGGGATTTCTCCTTCCCAGACACTAGAGCCCATAGCATCATAGACTGGTTTGGGCTGGAAGCAACCTTAAAAATCATCTAGTTCAAGCCCCGTCAAGGGCAGGAACACCTTCCAGGTTGACCTTTCAACTAGACCAGGTTGCTCAAAGCCCCATCCAACCAGGTCTTGAACACTGCCAGGGATGGGGTATCCATAACTTCCCTGGGCAACCTGCTCCAGTGCCTCACCACCCTCATCATACAAACCTCCCTAACATCAAGCGTGAATCTTTCCTCTTTCAGTTTAATGCCAACACCCCTCATTCTATCACTATCTGCCCTTGTAAAAAGTCCCTCTCCAGCTTTCTTTAGAACCCCCAAACTATAGCTTCTCTCATCTTCTTTTGATGGATGCAGCTGCTATTGGTTTTGATTGCGGGTCCTGCCAGGAGTAAGGCTGAACCCTTAATCCAAAACAACAGATAAACACACACTGACACAGAGCAGAACCTTACCAACACGCACATACATGGTAAATGCACTCACACAAATCCAACAACACAATCCCATCTCATCCCTCGCCTCCAGCCACCCAGGACTGAAGCGCACCAGTGAGACACGCAGGACATGCACCCTCCAGCTTCACAAAGACACCATGCTTACAGAGCCTTCAACACGCTGAGCCTCTTCCCCTGCCACTGGCTTGTGTCTGAGCTCTTTGCAGATGCTGTTTTTTTCCTGCATGGTCCCACTTCAAACTTGCTACCAAGTTTTGTCAGTGAAGTTTTCAGTACAGCAGCTGCTTGTGAACACACTGGCTAGCCCATGGCTGGCCTCTGACTCTGGTGCCCCTGTTGCCCACAGTCTCTTCTCCAGCTGCAGGTGCCCAGACCTCCCAGTAACACACATCCACACACACAGATGCAGAGCAGAAAGCAAGGTCAGGCCGAAAATCATCAGAAAAAGTATTTAATAAGAAGCTGAGGCAGACAGCAGCGATATGGCACAGGGCTCAGTCAGACAAGAGCACTGCTTACATGGGGCCCAACCCCTTTTACCCCCCCTTTTTATTTTCCATGCGTGTTCTTCCCATGCCCACCTCAACCCTTTCCTCCCTCTGCTCCAATCTCCTCCCAAACAATGCACCCTGAACTACTTTTCCCCACTGGTCCCAGTTTTGCTGCATTCCTACCCCAAACTGCTATTTCTGGTAACATTAGCTGTGATCCCTCAGCCTTGCACAGTGTTACTTATACAGCACAGCAGCCTTGCCAGATTCCCCCCAAGTACTCCCTCCAATTCTCTGTGGGGTTTGACCACCTTCTCCTTACATACCATTGAAATCTGCCCACCTTTCACAGCAGCTATCTGTAACTTTTGTCAGCTTCTCACTCTGTTACTTGTGTTTAGAGTTCCTCATACCATGACCAGCAGTTTCTCATGGTCGTTTCAGCTGGTGAAACCTCAGGCCAGGGCCCAGGTATCTGCCTGCATAACAGAAGAAGATTCATTTCAAAGACAGAAACAAAAAGAAGTGCAGACACTCTAAATCATCTTGGGTTTGATACATGACAGTGGTAAGGAAATGGTTCTGTGAAACTGTCAGGGTGCAATTTATCTACTGCAGCCGAATGTCTGGTTCCAGGTTTCATACAGCTCCAGGTCCTTCGGGGAGACGCTGGGCCGCACAGTTCTGAAGGCACTCTCAAAGTCCACGAAAGCAATCGGCCGTACTTGATCTGGCATGATGGTTGCAATGTCCAGGGACTGAAGACTGCGGATAGGGCCCAGAGACGCTTCTCGGCAGAGCTGTGTCATGTCTGCCCCAGAAAACCCATCTGATTTCTTAACTATGAGTTCGATTTCCTCTTCATTTAGGGAGCAGTGCTCCTTCGACATTAGACGGGTAACAATCTGCTTCCTCGCTGAGGCTTCTGGAAGAGGAATGTACAGTCTCTTCACCAACCTCCTTCGGGCAGCTTCATCAATTTCTTGGGGTCGGTTGGTTGCTCCGACCACCAGAATACGATCATCTGAGGAGGTTGTCGCCCCGTCTAACTGGACCAGAAATTCAGTTTTTATTCTTCTCGACGACTCGTGCTCCCCATCTCCACGCTGGGACAGCAGGGAATCAATCTCATCAATGAAGATCACTGCCGGCTGTTGACATCGTGCCACGGTGAACAGAGCACGGACCATCTTCTCCCCTTCACCTACCCATTTGGAAGTCAGAGAAGAGGCACTGATGCTAAAAAAGGTTGCTCCAGACTGGCATGCGATGCACTTGCCTATGAGAGTCTTGCCAGTCCCCGGAGGGCCGAAGAGAAGAATTCCTTTAGGAGGACCACGTAGCCCAGTGAAGATGTCTGGCCTCAGCATAGGCCAGACTACTATTTCTTTTATAGTAGCTTTAGCAAATTCAACCCCAGCAATGTCATCCCAGTTGACCGGAGGCCCATGGTCCACGATCTCATGCATTATGAGTTCAACCATTTTTGGCTCTATGTTCTTCAGTCGCTCATCTACAGGCAGTGATGGATCTGTTGACCCTTTTGCATGAGGTTTACACTGTGCTCCTCCATTTTCATTTCCATCTTGTTTTGGAACTGGAGGAACAAACTTGCCAAAGGCACCCCGAGATCTGCCTGCTCCCAGCGACTTTTTTATGCCTCCGTAGGATGAGACTGGTGCACGCTGTGGTAGGCTTTGAGGTTTCTTTTGCTGATCCATCCACAGCTGTTCTTTTGCAGTTCTAAAACCAGGAACACTGCCCTCTTCACTTCTGTTTCTATACCCTGAGAAACTACTGGTTTCTGTACTACTGTAAGCCTGGCATGGAGCAAGGTTAGGAATTGCTGTGCTGTCTTCATCAGCCAGACCATAAAATGCTTTTCTTTTCCCAGAACTCGTGGACCATGCAGGTACAGCTGACTGATTAGAAAGAAGCAAATTCTGTCCATCATGACAATTACCTGATGTTTTCAGAGAACTACTACTTGTCACTTCTTTGTTTCCAAATAGTGGAGTTGCCTGGAAACCTGCATTAACCTGCTCATTTGAGGATGCTGAAGAGGCAGGAAGTGTATCTGATGTTTTGGCCACAGGAAGCACACTGCTTTGAACAGACTTTGAAGATGAAGGATGCTCAAGGAGATCTGGTCCCTGACTCATACATTTTGCTGAGCCAGCACAGAGCTCAGTCTCTCTGGCACTGCTGAAAACACTGAGTTTAGGAAAGGCTGGAACAGCAGAGGCACTGACCCCTTTCTCAGCTAGAACAGAGGCATCTGCTGGTGCCATCTGAGAGCTCTGGAAACTTTTGCCAGCCTGCATCCTCTCTTGCACACGCTTTAATTTAAATACATTGTCTGTTGTCAGGGCAGATTGCCACTTGTCACTGTCATTCTGCTGACACTTTGCCAAAGTCAGGATGTTTTCGGCATAGTTATTCAAGCCAGTCTCTATGTTGTCAGAGTCAATAATCGCAGAGTACTTCTCTGCATACTTTTTAAACAGGTTGGCAGCACAGACCTGAGAGATCTCGGAGTTTGCCCATGCATACTGAATACGCAGGATTTTGGCACGGTATTCATCTGCCTTCTGCCCGGGCGTGCAGGTGCCAGAGGTAATCGCGAAGTAACTTTTCTGCCAGTCACTCAGGTGCACAGCACTGGGGCTGGGGTTTTCCATCACTGACACTGAAATACACATAAAATACCTGCTGTTAGAAAATGCACTGCATCGCACTACCATTTGCTTTAGGTGCTTTCCCCCTTTCCTAAACGCATATACCTGAAAACATACATTATTTTAATTGAAAGAAATAGTGCAGTAGATCTTGCAAGCTACTTAGCCTGGGCATTTTACCATTTCCAAAAAGGAACCAGCTTTGTGGTGTAAAGTCATTTAGACTGGGGTTCTCTTTTCTTCCTTGATCAAAAGAAAGAAGGGCTAAAAAAGAACAACAATCCCAAACAAAACGCAGCCACCACAAAAAAGAGAGTTTGCTTCTAATCAGAGGTCTCCAAGGGATGTCAGTAAAGTGCAAAGAATGGTAACAGATGGACAAACAAAACTTGGCCCTGTTAAATGCAATCACCAGTGCTTTCACTCTTATTTGACAGAATACAGCGCAGTCCAGAGGACAGATTATACACCAGAATAACAAAATCTATTGCAGTGATGGTAATAAAAATGAAACAAGGAAGCTAATAAATGAAACTATATGCAAAGTATCTGAAGGGAGGTAAAAGTGGAATGAATAACCCTGAATGCAGTAAACTTTCAGATTAAGATAATATTTACAGATTTAGAGCAAAAGTTCAAAACTGTTCCATTTATAACATACTAAAATGTCTCCATTTTACATTTTAGAGACACAAAGCTCTTGTGTGTTTATAGCAATGCTTGTTTCTCAGTTTTAGAAAGGGAAATTTATATTCCTTCAGCAATTTTTTACCTAAAGAAACAGGAAAGATGGCATTTGTTTGGTAAGGCACATTTTGCTACACTTGAAAAGATATGCTCATATTTATAACATATTTTCCAAGAAGTCTTTCCCTGCAATGTCTCATGTGCAGAGAGATTTCTGGTAATGTCAAGGATTCATGATTTCAGAAGAGACACAGGCACAGGCAAAATTACAAGTCACTAATCACCGCCTCAACAGGGTTTGTAGAAAGCTCGTAACACACAGCAATTCTGATCTTCTCATCTGTCCATATGGGACATGCGCCCAACATAGGATATGACAGGTAAAATTCTCCTTTCTCTTAAATCCACTGTGTACCAGGATGCTCCAGTCAGAGAATACTTCAAACAAAACCTGTTACACTGGAGGTCCATGTATTCTGCAACCCTTCCAACAAAGCACAAGTCAATCTGCAATCTTCTCCTGAATCAGCTACAGACTATGTATGAGCACAGGTTAAGGCAAAGGTGTAATGTACATACAAGACTGGGGAGACAGAGCTGAAGGAATCCTGGGGGGAGGGTGTTCCCTATTCATTTCCAGAAAGTCTGCTACGGTGTTAGGACAACAGAGAGCACAATATGATTTTGGCAGGAGGGGTTACACATGTGGTAAACAACAAGGAGATAAATTATGTTGGATTTTTTGGGACTGCATCAAAACTTTGTAGTGCTGTTTAGAAAAGTCAAAATACCTTTTCTCTGCACATTCAGTGCAATTAAACAGGAAGCTAATAAAAAAAAAAAAGACTTCCTCTGAAAAATCACTGTCAACTTTTGTACCGTGAGAAGTCCAACTTGCACCTACCGAATTAGGCACACAATCCCACCATAACCCATCTGCAGCTGAGTAACAGGTGAACAGGAGATAGAGGGCTGAGCCTTTTATTTCTTTTCTCTAACACCATACTAAATAACTGTCCCTGTGCACGCTACCTTTTTGTAACTGTTGCATCAAAAACATCTTGTGAAACACAAAAGCTAAATTCAGAAAAAGTTTAGTATCGGGCATCTGCTCCCAAGAAATATTTCTATAGATATGCATCATTCAGAATAGAAAACCTCAAGTTCACCACCTGCAAAGTAACGATTTAATAATCATCTTCCCAGCATTGAGGGAATGTCATAAGTAAACACTGGTAGCCAGTTTAAAACTTCAGTTTGATTTTAATTTGCAAGTATCTTCCAGTATCACATTCTCTCCCTGTTCTATTAGTTGTCCTCACAGCTTCAGTATTTTCCCCCAAGAGACAGCCAAATGTGTACACATATAGTCAGTCATTCTTCAACAGCCAAACCCATTGCCAGATGTGGACATCATACTTACACGTAAGTGTCTGAAGTTGTGGGTTTACCAAAGCACTGACAGTAACGAATCTCTGGCACGCAAATTTCAGCCTCAGCAAACCGAGGGGCAAGTAACTACCTGCAAGCCACGTTCATACATATATGAACACATATGCCAGGCTGAACAGGGCTTTCAGCAACCTGCTCCAGTATGCGGTGTCCCTGCTCATGGCAGGGGGGGTGAAACTTCTAAAACCCCTTCCATGATTCTGTAATCCCAAACCAGGGCAAAGCAGGCTTGCCCGTAGGCCAGGAACCCAGCAGGGCACCCCGCCAGCTGCCCAGCCTCTTCCGCTCCAGCGGAGCGCGCACAGCCCGACGCCGCCCAGCGGCCAAAAACCCGCTACCGCACGAGCCCCCACCCGCACAGCTTCCATCAGGTCAAACCCCCGCCACACCGGAGGGGGGGGAAGCCGACACCAGATCCCTGAGGGCTCCCAGCGGCCTTCGCTCTGCCGCACCAGGGCCAAGGGACCCCTCACCTCTGGATCGCCGGGGCTCAGCGTTCTGCCCGGGTGGGCTCAGCTGCTGGCGCGCAGCGAGGCCCCTCACGCCGGCTGTCGCCAACCGCGTCCGGGCCGGGGCCCGGCGCCTGCAAGCACAGGCAGGGGGGAAGAAAGCCGGGAACCCACAGAGGACGGGGGCCGACGGGGTCCCGCAGCCCCACCCCCACACACACAGACCCGCACCACGCACACACCCACCAGCCACCTCTGCAGATCCCGCGCCCGCGCTGCCCCAAGCCCCGCCCCGCTCCCGCCCACCAATCGGATAACAGGGCTCTGGGTGGCGCAGCCAATCGGTGATCAGAAGGGAGGGAGGGACAAGTAGAAGAGCGGGGAACGGCTCGACGCGCCTTCGTCTTCCGCTCGGGCTTACCGGAGCTATGGGAGGGGATGGAGAGGGAGGGGACGACACGCGGACTCTCCCGCTCCCTATTGGCTGCGCCCAAGGCGTACGCCCTCCAATAGACGCGGGATCCGTGCCTTGGGAGGCAGGTCGGCCCCGCCTCCTGCCGCTGCACGCGCGGGTGCCTCAGCCGACCTCAGCGTCAGTCTGGTACCGGAGGCGGCCGTCCCTCCGCGGGCTGAGCGAGCCGCGGTTCCGGTTGTCTGCCCAGAAGGGTACCCGCATGCCCACAGGACCAAGGCAGGCTTCGGAAAAGCTTTTTTGATAAAGGCTTGGTCACACATGAAGTGACCGCAGGAGCAGGAGTGCTACTGGCTGCTTCAGTGCTGAATTCAATGGCTGCCCCGCACAGCAGGGCAGCTACCTCACGTGGACTGCTGCCCGCCTTTCTCTCAGTAGAAGGCCCTCTGGGTGCCCTTGACTCAGTCTGGGGGAGGCCGGGCCAGCAGAGTGCCAGGCTCTACCCTCAGCGACCACCCTCTGCGCAGGATGAGCTCCACGGGAGACAGGCTCCGCATGCCGTGAGCCCAGACGCAAGCTGCAGCTCAGCTGGTGGTTCAGGTGCTATCAGCGGGGACCCACACCTCTGCGCACACAGCACCAGAGCTCCACGGCCACCTGTTCCACCTGTCGTACTGTGTCAGAGGCTGCAGGGTACTGCAGCCACCATGGCAGTGTTGGAGGCTAATGGTGTCCAACACCCTCAGAAACAGCAGGTGATGAACAGACCTTTACTGGAGAACAGCTCTGCTAAAGGGCTCGGCAGCAGTAGCAGGGCTCTCTGGCAGAGTAATGAGACGAGTAACAGTATGCCTAACAAGGCAGAAGATGGTGGCTCAGGGGGATATGTCCTATGAACTCAGCCTCGTCGTGGAGTCCCTAGCTGGATCACACCAGCCCAAGTTCAAACTAGCACACCAATCTTGATGCAAATTGGCACGCTACGCTGCAGTTACACCTCTGGTATTAACACAGTCGCTTCAGTGTAGGTGAACGTTTAATTTCCCGTGAGAAACATTTCTTTTGTTACTGTCAGGTTTTTGTTCTACGTCAAGCTTTAATACCATTAGTGCAAACAGCATTTTAAACTGTCTGCACTACTAGCAAGCTATCATCTGAGACCAAATTGGGCTAACGTCTGTAGCTGGTAACACTGCTGCCATCCTACTTCCCCCAAAGTGTGCTTGCCCAGTTTCCCTTGGGCTGTGCAGAGGCAGGGAGGGAAGGAGCCCACAGCTCAGCTCCCCTAAGGAACACAGGCTCTGGGTAGGCAGGGCTAGTGGAATGGGCTGCTGCCTTCTCCTATCTGGTGATGCCTAGACTGGAAACCAAAGCCAAAGCTGGACGGCTGGCTCCAGTGGCACATCCAGCTGCAGGATTCTGGTTTGGCCAGGCACTGAGACAATGAGAAAAAAAGCACTGATGGTGAAAATCAGGGCACTGATTTCCCCCCCACTCAGCGAGGAAGTTGGACCCCTCACAGTGCATATGTCATGAATAAAATGGGAAAGAACAAAGACAGACAATAGTTGTAGTTTTGTTTCCATTTATTAATGCTGCCAATTAAAACCTGTATGTCCATTCAAGTAGGCCCTGGATACAGATTTTAAAGGAACTCAATAAATTATACTAAAAAAGCACTAAACATCTGATTATTTTCCCATTTGGGTCATACAGGCTGTACATATGCTGTATGGATTTTGGCCACCAATGGTTATTTAAACTGCCTCCACCACTCTGATCTTCAGGGTTCTCAGTTTCATCTCTCATTTGCTCCCGTCTTTGAGCAATGCAAGATCACACATCTCAAGGTTTAGATTGCTGTTGTTAAGGCAAGTGCAGTGTAAGTACCGCTCATAAATATGGTATCCTTAGAGGAGACAACAACAAAACAACAACCATGAGCAGAATCTTATATGTAAAGGCAAAAGAATATTAGAAATTAAACAATTATAATGCATTTCAGAGTATAATATATTAGCAACATTTTCATAAATACATCTTTTCAGTATCTCACCATCAGTAATAAAATATAATTTTTTATTATTACTAAGAATGTAAGTATAGTACTAGCACCCTGCTAGTTTGAAAAAAACCCAAACATATGTTTATTGAGGAGTAACTTCCCCCCCACCCTTCTCCAGCAGCCGCACTCTCTCCCTTGAGATGTGGATATTCTACTAAAGCACAGCTCTGAGATTTACTAGTTATTTTTAACATCAAACAGTATTAATCAGCACAGACAGCATTAGCTTTTGCACACAAGGCACAATAAATCCAGGTTCACATATTAACTCTTCATAAATACAGTACTTCTCACTCACAGGTATGTTGCAAAGCTACAGAACAGAACAGCAATTACGTTCTTTCAGAATGTTCTTTTCAACACTTTTGTTCTGGAGTTGATAACGTGGACCAGATTTCATTCTCAGATGACCTAACATTTATAGTCTGCAAAGGAATTGCCAGGTGGGGAAAAGAGGGTATGTGAGATTCAATCCTAAGAAGCCCTTCACCAATTACATATTCAGATCACCTCAGAAAAACTAGAACTGTGAACTTAAGATTTCTGTACTGGGCTGGCCGTGGGGAAATTAATTCTATGGGTCTTGTCACTGCAGTTTCTTGGAAGATTTACTTACAACGCTTCCTTAAAAACAAAAATCATTTACTGCATTTATAATATTTTAAATTAACCCCTATCCTAAATTCTTTGCCAGAAGTTCTGGTCTCTGGACAGCAGCCCCTTCTAAAACTGATACCCGTAATCTGAAAAATGTTTAATTGAATGTCAGGTTTTGGCAACATTTTCCCACAAAGGTCTAGAGGGACCTAGAAACCTAATTCTGGGCTGTTGTGAGCATTTATCCTCTCCTGACTTTGGATGTGAATTCTGCCTGCATCCTGGTTCTACAGCAGTCTGAGGCTCACACAGGCGTGCATCATCCACCTCTGCTTTAGTTTCCATGGAGAGAATTTCCACCAAAATCCTCTTGTGTTCAGCTAGTTTTGCCTTACCTTATGCATTTCTTTTCCAATACTTATTAGTTAGAATTTTAATTTCAATTATTGTCATATAAGCCCAAAGCAGCTCCGTTTAATTTAAATGGAATTATCCTGGATTTACTCTATGATAGCTTTGATCAGAATCTGATCTCTTTTATGTTCATGGACAGACCTGGTTAGATATTTCACATACAAAACACTGGTCTGTCTCATAACAAAGGTGTAATTCTTTTCTGGCTCCTAGATTCTAGTGTTGTCATAGTGTAAAAGCTGTAAAATTGTACCAGTGTGGACCATATGGGCTATGGATGAACATCATTTCCCAAGTCAGGAGAACTGAATAATGTTGTTTTTAAAAAAACTGATAACAGAGAAAAGAAACAACTGCCAGCATTTTTCTGCTGTTTTCAGTCTACCAATCTATTCCGTTGTGCCACTACAGAAAAGCTTAATTTCATATTGGTTCTGCTAATGAGAATGATGCCATCAGAATTTCTGATCCTGTAGCTGAGAGCAGTGCCTGGTGGAGTGGCTCTGTCACCTGCTCAAATATTACAGGCTTTTGCCAGATTCGTCATCCCTTCCTTCATCTGTTACCTGTGAAAGCAATTCCTTAAAGAAATAGTAAGCAGCTTTTCCATCTGGGTGGATAATGCAGGCTCTGGCAAGCCCTACAGAAGGATGGCATGTCACTATCTACCCTGGACACACAGCCTGACCTTTTGGAAGTGCAGAGGTTGGTCTACTTTCCTTACTGTCAGGATTCATGCACGTCTCTCATATACCACTTGCACATGTGTTAATACTAATCCTTCTCCACTTTGCACAGCAGAAGTGGGGTGATTAGGAGTCACCAGATCCATAGTCAACTTCTTTAATCCCCTCTGGAAAGACAGTGGGTTGAAGCAGACTGTGTGCCAAATTAACTGCCTCGGTGCATGTTTCATGGTCTACCTGCAGCTTCCCATATGTAGGAATTACATTTGCAAGGGACAGAGGAAGAAAGCTGAATAATTGTGCAAGTCGTTCAAGATGCTTTAGAAGTTAATATGAACAATAAAAGGAAAAGATTAAGACATATGCAAATGTAGAAATGAATCCTGCAGATTCCTTTTCTTGGAGTAGCTATTTATTTTGATCTTACTTAGATAGAAATAACTGCCTGGAATTTATATTTTCAAAATGACAGAAATACTTATTAAAGTCAGATATGATTTCTGACTTCCATTTCACCTCTTTACTGTACCTGCCTTCAACAGTATGACA